CCCCAAAACCCCAAAACCCCAAAACCCCAAAACCCCATCAAGGCTAAAAAATATTGAAAAATTATTAAACTCCCAAAAATCCAACTATTTAGATGAACTTTTGAAAATGTTTAAAGATTAAAACCAAGCCGATTATTGATCGCTTCGCTAATAATCCGATCTTTCTCAACCTTCTTAGGCTCGTCTGAGGATACATAGGGACGTGGCTTAGCAGCTGTCTTCAGGGTCCTCAGAAATATTGGCTTATTCGAGTTAAACTCTTCTCCCATATCTAACTGTTCAAGGTTATTTACTAGTAGCAACGGGGATTTCGACTTCATCTCAACCCTATCTATCTTCAGCCGAGGGGCCTCATTTGTCTTAAAAATCTGCAAATTTCTGAGAATTAGGATAATTAAGTTACCACTGATACAAGTCTGTTGTATTAAAAGGGCTCTGTACAAATCTTTGCATTGTCAAATGTGAGCTGCCAGTTATATTCGATTTTAGCAGATTAACTAAAGATTAGCTTCGAGATACCTTTATGCAAAGATGTATGCTTGAGATTCTCAGTTTGTCTAGTCCTATTTACCCTGATACCTGCTCTTCAAACTTTGGATATAAGGATCAAGTTTGTCTAAAATCAACCAGGGAATATTATACCTTTAATTTTACTGTCAGCATTAGCCTTTTGTTCAGAGTTGCTTCTATCAGAATTGTTCGCAAACTCAGAAAATAAACCGACTGTTTTGTCTGGCCGACGCTGACTATCCCCAAGTTGGCTAACAATGAGAGCTTGATTTACCTACCTAAATTCTCGGCTCTTGATTTGTCTCCCTCGCCCGCGACTTCGAGTGAATAATTTTCCAAAAGAATTATCGCTAAAGTTTCTCATTGGTTTCTTTTTCAGCTTTTTATTACTCGAGAAATATTTCTTAAGATAGCTATCAATGTCGTCAGAGCTTAGAGGCATCTTAATGTCTATCTCTGAAGCTCCAGTCTGCATCCCTGATGGCTATATAGAGGTATTATTAGCATAATCTCAAGGAGCAAATGCCTCTATGTAGTAGGACAACCTGACTTACAGATTCAATTCTCAAATTTGGTTTATTGATTATGAGTGTTGGTTCATCCTTCTTACCAGAAATCATGGGAGAAGTTGCCATAATTTTTGCTGACATCAGCCCGTGCTTATAATCCTGAGAATTTCTGAGTGCCTTGAACTTATCGAAATTTGGCCTTCTGGGGAAACTCATCATACTGGAGTTAGCGCTATTGTTCGATTGCATATGTCTCATAGATTTGTTCATAAAGGATGATGGAGAGTCAATGCCACTGGAGTTTGATGAAAATATCTTCATTCTAATATCTTCCATTGGTTTGAACATTCCTCCATCCAAGAACTTGCTTTCAATTTTGTTCTCTTCAGAGCCACCCTCAGATTGCATATTCCAGTATTGACTCGTAATACCATAGAACGGGATCATCTGGTTTCGGTTCTGAAAAGAAGAAGGACCCTTATTCTGATTATTTGTCGTTCTTAAAAATATTTCGTATTGACTTCGAAATGTCTTCTCCTCTATTACGAAGCATATTAGATGTCGGATTTGGTGACCTAATCCGGCGATTTCTCTTCCTCTTATCATACATTTGGGACCACGGTCGAGCAATTATAGGCCTGGCTCCATTTCCTGTAGACGGCTTTTTCTTATCAATCTTATTTTGTAGTAGGTATTACAGCTTGCGAGCTTAAGTTTTTAGTCATCTCTACAGAGATTAACTGCAAAGATACCTCTTAATTGGTCAGTTGACTCATGGATATTAGCAAAAATAGAAGCACCCTCGCTCTTTTCAGGGATCAATTTTAATGTTTCTTCTTGGATATCTAGAGAAATTAAGGCACTGACCAGTTTGAGAAATGTTAGTTTACTGACAATTTAGGGAATTCAGAAATTTACCGGCAATTTTACAGCTTTTAGCTTCAAAAATTTACTTACTCTTGAGATCAGCTTTTGATTTATACGGGTTTAGCCTAGAAAATAATATGTCAGTAGAAGCCTTAATACTAATGAATTAAGTCACCAGATTCTTACTTCTTCTTAGTAATATTAAATAACATCTTTTTACGATTATTTTTAGCATCTCTAGTCTTAGGACGGGACTTGAATTTAACCTTACTCGGGGCTAGATAATTATGGTTCTGATTACCCAAACCATGACTTTAGAGAAAGAAGATAGAAGGGAGATTGATAGCTTACATTTTTTACTCAAAGAAGGGCCCTTGTCGTTTCCTAACAAAGCATCGATTATCTGCTGTTTGTCTATAAATACCTTTTCTCCACTAGGAGTAACAATGTTCATTTTTATTATATTTCATTTAAATTTAACTTATTTGGGGTTTTGGGGTTTTGGGGTTTTGGGGTTTTGGGG